TGGTGTGCGGGGAGGGGTTGGGGTGGGCTGGGCGGGTTTCCTCTTAAAATCCACCATCATCATCATCATCATCATCATCATTTTCAACGTGTTCAGCTCCAGGCTGTTACTTAGTGTAAGTCGAGAAGTAAAATTGCATTTACTAAACTTTGAGTTTGGTTTAATTCCTGTTTTCACAGCCATATTTAATACAGCAAAACATTTATTCCAGAAATAAGCGTCCTTTAGTTACTTTGATATAATGGAATTGAGAAGTAATATGATGTTGAAACCTAGACTTTCTTCTCTTCCTCCTCTTTCTTCTGTACTTTCTTCCCATCAGTCCCTGTTTGATGTTCTTGTTTCAGTGCCTCCTTCCCCTCTGGCTCTGCTGGCTGTCCTTCTAGGCTTTTGGCTGACGGCTTCTCTACTGCCTGCAGGACGGCTAGGAGGCCCAGATTGTCAAAATTGTATGCAGTCACACCGATATTGGCCACTGACCGGAGACCAGTGTCTGTGGCTTGGCCTGTATCATTTCCATACCTTCACCATAAATGATAAAGTGGAGTTAGGGAAGAGTGTGTTGGTGTAACAAAATGAGGATGTGTACAGGCTCGAAATGCTGATGCAAATTAAGTGATATTGGTTCTCTTGACAGTCATATGAACACACCAAAGTTCAAGAAAAACAGTCATACTATACTGTGCAGCATTTTATTAGCGACACACCAGGAGAAAGGGCTACAGATAGTTTGCACAGAGTATCAGAACATCACCACCCAACACAAACAGACAAGAGATGCAGTTATCTTGGACCCAGAAAGACACAGAGTCAAAAAAGGAACCCAGAGGTTATTCAAATGCAATTTATCAACAACTGATGAAGACAATTCTGTGATAGTTGTTGCATTAGATTTGAAATTTGAATTATTTAAGGTTTCCATCTGACTTGTCTGAGTTAATGAAAGTATACATGAAAGGGCCCAGCAGAGTCAGTAGTTAGTTTGCAATTCTTTGCCTTAACTTCCCCAAGCAGTCATATGTTGCTGGACATGTTTATTAGATTCTCTAAGCCCCTAAATCTGAAAAGAAATAGGTGTGAAAGCAGGTTAGTACCCCAACATACCAAGAAAAAAAGCAACACAGTAGGAAACTGTAAGATTGGTTTCTGACAGTGTTCTACAGTTTGTTTTTTTTAAGTGACCAAAGAGATTCAAAAACAAGCCAAAAAGAAGATCGGTAGTAATTCATTAATGATCAGAACATTTCTATTAGGAGGAAATGTCACAACTTACTTGTAGGTCACTGATGTGACAGTCTCTGCTGCGACACTTTTGCCCACAAGCTTTGCTCCATTTGCCAGACTAGACCAAACAGCAGAGATGCCTGGTTTGGATGTAAAAGAAAGAATGTTAAGTATGGGCAGAAGACTTGGAACACTCACCTTTAATCAAACATTTCAAATGCCCAACATGACTAAGTATTCTGTTATACTGATACATACCTTTTACACTGCTGCTTGCCACAAACTTGGTTCCTTCTAAGTTGGAAGGGCTGCCATCATTGCGCTTCTTCATAGACTCTGGGACAAGCTTAGCACCATGTTTCTTCACATGAGGTGCCATCTTCTCTGCTGCTTGTCCTATCACTGCACTCAGTCCATTAACTGTAAATATACACACTTATACATGTAGTATACATATAGATATATCTCCATATTAATTAGATTATCAGCATGCCCTAAAAAAACTGAAAGAAAGAAATTAAGTGAAGTATTTATCTTTATCATCCTCCTGGCCAAGTCCCCTGAAACAAAATTTTGGGACTATATCGAATTCAGGAAAATTTCCAGTCCTTACCCAAGAACCTGCTGAATTGCACAGCACCCCCAGTGGCCCGCTGAGTTGTCTGCAGACCCCTGGTGACACGGGGGCTGACCTCTGAAGGAGTTTCCTCAGGGGTGATGTGGTCCCGGATCTTGGCTCCTCCTCTATGAATGGCCCTACCAGTGGCCTCTGCTCCTTTTGTAAACTTTTCACTCAGCTGTGTAGCTCCTACAAACAGAAATACTTTGGTTGATAAATATACATTGGGAGTACTGTTGATTGTTGTGTTGTAAAAATATCTGTAGAAGAACTGAGTTATGGTCACCATCAATAAACAGCACCCTCTAGTGGTCATTTTCTTTATAGAGGAACATCTACTATATATATTGTATATAAGTCTGTGTACAACATTCTATGGTGACTTTTTCTCCTTTATTAGAACTGATGCCTATGAACACACCTGACAAGATTCCTTGTCCCATCTTCGTACTCCATCCAGGAAGTGGTGGCTTTTCCTTCTCACATGGCACTGTCAGTTCTACGTGTTCATTTGGGGGACCAAGGGGGATCTTTGTACTGAGATTGATGATTTCATCCCCTCCTTCTTCTGGACCCTGTCAGAGAACCCACAGTTAGAATGAAATAACACAGAACACACAGTAACAGTATACAGTAAGCCATGACTCAGCTGGTTCAGAATGTTTTAAACCCACAACACGCAAACTATTTTGTTCCTCCTGATGTGTCAACAGATAAACATGACCTGCACTTTACTGTAAGTCTAAAACACTACTGCATCACAGTGTAACAGTCAGGAGAAGAGTAGCAGAGAGAACAGCTTCTATAACAAAACATACAATCAGTCATTATCAGCTGTTTAATTTCAACACTCCCATCCAACATCCTCCTTTTCTCTTCAAATACAAAAACACTCTAAATATATAGTACCAAACCCTTTGCCCCAGCTACATGTGTACTATGCCGATCATTACAGTTGCTCCATACTGACAGTAAATACTGACCTGGATCCTAAGATCAGCGAACTGTGAGAGAAGGTCCTGAAACATCTCTCGCTTGGCAGCAGGCAGTTCAGAGGACAGCACTATGCCCATATACGGCCCTGGTGCCTCGACCGAGGAGTCAGAGAACATGAAGATCCCAGTGTTAGCCAACAGCACTGGAGTATCTGCTGTCAGTGGGTAGAGCCTGTCACACACCTTGAAAACACAAAAGACACTCAAATGATCGCCACTATGCACATGCATGTAATTCCTAAAGCAAAGCAAGAAAACATACATGGATGTTGGGAATAAGGCTGACTTCATTTGGAAAGTGTAGTTTCTCAAAGGTCACCTAATTTATCCCCAAGGGGTGATTTGTTGTGCAGCCAGTAGCACACATACATTCATTATCGCATCACAATCATATGAATCAAAGACATGCAACACACACAGAAAAAAAAGTCATGATAAATAAAATATTGTCACAAATAACTTGTATTGTCACAGGTTAAATCAGCCATTTTCTCTTTTCAGGCATGAAAATGTAGTCATTTTTCAACAATGTTTTCCTCCCTTAAAAACACATTACAAGATTTTAGCCCCATCAGGACTTATGTCAGTCATCCACACATGCACAGACTTGTTGCTGCATCGTGCCACTGGCCACCTGACGGAATGAGCCTGACCAGCAGCACAACAGAAGCGCAGAGTCATCTGTTAATGGGACTATTGTCTTGCTGGGAAACAAAGAAAAACTATAATAAAAGAGCGTGACCTACCAGGCTGGTCTTGCAGGAAACAGAGTCATGTGTTGCACTGCAGTATATGGCAGGCATAATACACTCTTTGTCGAGGTGCCACAATAAAGTATTGTCGTTTATAATTTATATCACTGACTCAATACAAAATTCATCCCAGAAACATATGAGGCTGCCAGAAGGTACCACAGGGATAGGTCACACACAGGGTCCGAGCCGATAAAGTTGTACTTTTGTGGGAGCTTGTGCTATAAAAGTTATACAATACCAAAACTGCAGTATTTCTGTTCTACTGAAATAAGAGACTAAACAAGTGAGATCCATTTCCTAGATTATAGAGGAGTAATACTTGTCTAACATAAATGCAACAGATTTTTTAATGGGACTGTTCAAAGTTTAAGACAAAAATATATTAAGTTTCACATCACTCAAATATATTCTAAACATTGCTAGAAAAGAAAACAGTATTTTGGCATCTGAATGATCAGTCTCAAATGAATAATTTGCAACTAGAGCTGAAACAATTAGTCAGTTAATTGACTAGTCAACAGGTGATCTATCAAACAAAAAAGCCAAAACTTCACAGATTCTTGTTCTTCACGTGAGGCTTTGCTGCATTTATGTTTTACACTGTAAACAGAATATCTCTTGTTTTATAGAGTAAACCGATAGGAAATAATCATCACTAATGAAAAGAATTACAGCACATTCATTACAAATAAATACAGGACAAAATAAATCACTCTTAAGTAACGAAGTATAAAGAAACGCCTCCTCCAAGTCAACGTTTAAAGCTCAGTTTTGATATGTTTTACCATAAGATGTGCATATGGTGTCAGACACAAAGTGTACAAGAGATACAGTACAAATGTCTGTGACTCCTCCTAAATCTATACACAAACATAAATGGTTCGTAGTTAGTCATTAACCTGGTCTAATAGTGACAAAGTGGGTTCACCTGGGATAATTTGCTGTTCACACCTGATAGACACATGCACAAAAAATGCTTTGCTTAGGTCACCATACTCACATGCATATATTTCTTAAAACATATACTTATTATAGGATACTGTATACTTACATGCAGAATAGCTGAGGGTCGTCCAGCAGTGGAATCCTGTTTCTGACTGCCATCCATGATGATGCGAAGGTACCCTGAATAAGACAGGGAGCTGACCTGTCCATTTGGGGCCACAAAAAACATCTGTACCCCAGAGGGGATGAAAAGTAGGTCACTTCCCTCTCTTCCTGCTGCTGTTCCAGTCTGTTTTCCTGACCTGAGGCCATGCCCAGCAGGACCACAAGCCAAGCTGCGGTGTCCATCTGCGGGCTGGCGTGTGTATGGTGGAGGCTGATCCCCTGGGTCAGCCATGGCTACTGATCTAGCAGGGACCGTGCGTCTGTACAGAGCAGATGGACGAACTGGCCTGGCAGGAGGTGTATTTGGGATTGGGGATGTGTTCTGAGTAGTGGGGGGTATGGTGGGGTACAGATGGTGGAGAGGGCTACTGGGAGGCTGACTGTTAAATGCAAGGTCTGGGTAAAGACTGGGAGGAAGATTAATCAACAGTCGGCCCCTCTGGCCTCCTGCTGTCAGCTGAGAGGTTTCCAGGTCAGAGAGGTGGGTGTTGACAGTAGTCAGAGTGTCCCTCATCCTCTGCTGGAGCTGCCTGGCCTTGTCCCAGTCTGCTCCCTGCTGCTTCTGCCCCCTAGTGGGAACTCCCAGTCCTTGGGTAAGGTGCTGTCGACCCTTTCTGTAATACTCCAGAGCCTCTGTTCTTTTTCCGGCCTCTTCAGCAGCCAACCCCCGACTCAGGGAATGAAATGCCAACTCATACTGGTCCTTGATAAGCAGCAGCTCAGCAGGCTCAGCCATACTGAGGAGTAGATGGGATACAGAGACTAGAGGAGAAATAATGGAGGCAGAGAACAATCGAGCAATTTATCTCCAATGATTTCATAGTAATCCCCAAAAATACAATAGCAAACATTAATCAATGGCAGTTTTTTTTACAAGAGACAAATATTAAATACTTGTATTACAGTTTGTTTTAGGTTTAATGTTCTGAAAATTCAATTAGCTGGATGAAAGAGTTGGGATTATAAACACAAAAATATATGTAATAGAAGGAACAACATGACAGAGTGCAGAGCTACATCCCAGGTTGTCACCAAGATATGTAGAAAAACCAGGTGTGAAAAGGAAACTGAGACTTGCTGGCATTGCTTAAACGCTATAAAAAGCAACTTAATATCTTCAACAATGACACTGGCAGAGTAGGTGAGTTCATGTTTGAAAAATCTCTGTAATGTGCCCTAATTGTTGTTGTACCCATCAAGTTTTACCTGAAGAACAAGACCAGGACTTGCGAGTGAGCTTTGACTTCTCTAAATATGCACTACACCTTGAAAACATAAGAGTTTATATATTTATTCTTAATTTCAGTATCAGCTGTATCAAACAACAAATACCTGTTATGTTTTTAGACATTATGCCTGACCACTGGGGAAAAAAACTGATAAAGTTGAATTTAAATCCAACTTACCTTGACAGCCAAACTCCCAGAAAAGAACACAAACAGTTTCAGAGAGTCCTACTTTCTGTTTTCTACAGTTCTTCTGAACTTTTACAGCTGTGAAAATACCTTACTGCATCAACTTCACTTTCCTCAGGAGTTTAAAACCTGTCGCACACACAGCAGCCAAACACAAGCATCAAACCAATCAAAGAAACGGCATGGCTTCCGGCCAAGACTTTCAAAATAAGATCCCTAAAGTACACACTAGACTGAAATTGACAAATTTGATTTTGAAGGAATGAGGGTTAAATAAAAACACATTTACCTTATATGTAGTGATTTCATTTAGTAATTTGTTTTACTTCCTTCTGTCATACACTCAATAATATTACATAAACTATGCACATATTAAAAAGACATGAAAAACAAGGACAAAGTGCTTGACCATGTTTTAAAATCTCTCTTAAATATAAAAGATGCCATTATTCATGAGTCAACATGTTTTGTATTACTCTGAACAAAAAATAAGCATATATTACAGCTAATGAGTTAGCAGCTTTATAAACTGTTTGCATGAACACCTTCACAGCGGTGGAAGAAGTACTCAGATTGTTTAAAAGAAGCAGTTTTGCATTCAAAATGTTGCTCAAACAAAAGTACACAATCATTAGTATCAAAATATACTTAAAGTACCAAAAGTACTCATTATATAGAATGGTACATTCTAAAACATTATATTACAATTGTTGATGAAATATTATGTACATCACTTTGAGTGTTACAGCTGGCAAAGGTGGAGATAGTTTTAATTACCTTGTGCTTATAATTTAAAGCACTACTGGGTAGCTTGTGAGTTTCACATCAGGGATCAGTAGTCTTATGATTATAATGCATTTTGTTTTTAATTTGATTATGAAAAATAACTAGCAACTAAACATATCAAATAAAAGTAGTGAAGTAAAAAGTACAATATATGCCTCTAAACTGCTGTAAAGTCAAACTATGAAGTAGTACAAAATGAAAATACTCAAGTACAGATACCTCAAAACTACCTAGAAAAAAATGTAGTTACTTTCTACCTCTACATATACAAGTACAGTATTAAAATTCTGAACTCATTAAATCCTTTTAAAAAATAATTTATTGCATTTGCATAAACTTTAAGAAAAAGAATCTAAAGGTAATAAATACTCAGAGAGTTGTGGCATATATATGATGGGTGGTAATCAGCTGTGTTTGTTTTGCTCTCAGTCTAAATACGTTCTGGCAGGAGCATCAAAACAGGGGTGGAGCGGTGGTTAATAGGAAAGGCAGACCAGTAGGTGGAGGGATCAGTGAAGCATGACAATACCTGTAAATGGAGGAATAAAAAAAAAACATCCATTCAGAGATATAAAGTTCTGTCCTACTGTAGATGCTTTAGCAACCCAGAAAATCAGCAAACTATGCGGGAAGGAAGCCATGGCTTACTTTGAACTTTTATACTTTTCCCTGATTGCCTGTTGTGGGCGACTCTCTGCACCGATGTACAGCTTGTAGAGGTCAGTCAGGCAGGGCACAATTTCAGCCATGGTATAGCCAGTAAACGCACACAAGGAATCAGGCTAAAATATGATAGAAGATTCATAAAAGACTCAGTGGGAAAAAAAAGTCATAATTAGGCAAATTATTTGAAAAATTCTCTTAAATGGGACTCTTCACACTCAAAACAGTCATCTGGACAAGCTTACCCAGAGAGATTTGTTCACAGTGTAAGTGGCTAGGCAGTAGGCTCCGGCTGCCACAATAGATGGGGTGTATTGTAGGACTGGATCAATTTCCAGCAGGCTTAATTCAGCTACATACTAGAGGCAGAAACACACAAATCAATAAGTGATCAAGGGAAACTGAAAACGGTATCTTCAAAGCCGGTGGGCACAAACCCAAAGTCATGGCTGACATTTGTGTGATCGATGTTCCTCACCAGGGCCAGGTTCTCTGTGGTGACACAGACAGAGTGGATGGACATGAAAAGATGAAGGAACTGGTTTGTGGTGGGTGCTGCCAGCTTGAAGGCCAGCACTCTGAGGACAGCATGCTCCATCCGAACCAACTGTTTTTTAGTGTACGTGCTGTCTGTGATGTACACAAACTCATTCAGCTCGGGAGGGAAGATCTCCTCATATTTACTACAAGGTGACAGGTGTCAGGTTGTAAGTTACCACTGATCATTGATATCACGCAACTCCATAAGATACATTTTGACCATGACAAATTAGTGACAGGTGAGAAAAAGTATCATTCAGAAAGATAAATGTACTTACGCAGCAATCAGTAATGCCGCTGTTCCAACCAGCTGCAGCTTGCTCCGTTTCACATGCGCTGTGCAGGAGAGGAAGCAGTCCAAATAGTTGACAGCAAGGTGCAGAGTTTCTGAACAAAGCTTGTAGTCCTTGACCACCTCCACCAGCCAGTCCACCAGGATGACCCGCATGCCACTGGTAATGTCTGGATGTTTCTCAAAGTAGTCTGGCCTTGGCCTGAACTCCTTCTGTCATTAGAAAAGAAAAACAGAGATATTTGCTGAGGAAGAGCAATACATCATATCTATAGAGCATTTAATGACTATATACACACACAGTAAAATGAAAACATGTTTCACTGCTCATGATTCAGATAATTTCGCACTTCACTCTCTCTCAGATGCCGGTAAATGTCCTCTGCATACTCAGACAGACAAAGCATCTTCTCTGGCATCATGGCTTCATCTGGTTCAGAATGCATAGAAGAATCCTTGCATGAACCTGTGGGAGCGAACAGCAGTTCTAAACTTAAAGGCATAACAGGGGAAAAAGGTTTTACATGGTAGATGTTTTTGTAAGGAGGAACCTTACCTGAAGTCAGCTCCAGCAGGACTCTCAAATCTTCATTTTGCAGGGCAGCAGGCTCATCATCTAGGTGATAGCTGTCTGAAAGCACTTGTTGGCCAGAAGCTGCAAGAACAACTTCACAAGCCTCTTCGACATAGACATCATAGCTGGAAGTGGAGGAGCAGCCAAGAAAGGCGAGCTGAGAGCTGTCTGAGACTGTACTGTGTTTGGAAAATTGGCTTCCCTGTCGAGAAAAATGACTCAACATGATTGCCACATTAAGCTGAAATATGAAATGTTCCGTGAAGGGGAAACAGAATTGAATCCTTAAAATTTAAAGCCATCCTCCACTGTGCCTCTCTGGCTCACCTGGCTGAGGGATCGACCACGCTGCTCATTTTCCGACAAGACACCAAGTACTGTCCGCTGCTTGGTTCGCTGGATTGGCAATGCATCTATTTTGCTTGAAGGTGCAATATTTTCTTTGCTAGCACAACAGCTGCAATGGGCATTTGTGCTGATGCTCATCTTTTAAACAAGGAAATGAGGAAAATGAAAGAAAAAAAAACTGGTCAACACGGTTAAAGGCAAAATAACAGAAACAGAAAATTAACTTACATATACACCAAAAAACTATGGATCAAATTATGTTGCATTTGCAAAGCTTGTCAGTCCCCTTCTATTGCATAGTAAGCCTGCTGTTCCCAGCATTGGGCTTAGGAGTCTCCATGGGGTTGAAAGATAAATCTGACAAATTGCAAGATGATTAAAATTAGAAGATAAGCATAATCACTGTTAAGGAAAATATGTCATTTTCTAATGTCTGTTTTTATTGTGAAACATTAGATTAAATGCCTCTAAAACAATTCAAATTAAACAATGTGGATAAGAAAATTTTAAATCACTTTTACTGGCCAAGTATATTGCACACAAGGAATTTGTCACCGGTGCAGAACCGAGGCAGCCATCTGATGGCACTGTCCCTGCAAGGTGCTGACCTGGCCATCAGGTCAGATGGGGCTCAGTGGAGCAACTTGGGGTTCAGTGTCTTGCCCAAGGACACTTTGACACATGGACTGGGGAGAACAGGAATCAAACCACCAAAACCTCTACTTCCTGAGCCACAGCCGCCCCCAAAACAACACTCACAGCAACTTGAAGATACACAGTATACAACAAGCAGCCAGGATGACAGTACTATATGTAAAAGGGTCACAAGAAGATAAGGTTGGAAGCCACAGCAACAGCATTTAGGTGGTTGGTTCATGGTTTCCATGTGGACAATACTAAATTGAATAATTCCCTGTCTTACATATAAAAGGTCAGAAAATAGTGAAAAATACCCCAAGACAGTTCCATGAACATTTAATAAACTCCAATGAAGTGGTCCGTGAAACAAACATTACCATGGTTACAGTAATAAGCACGAATCAGACAAAATAACACAAACAAAGTAACACAAGGCTGCAAACTAACTGCACCATTAGGTGTATCACAGAGCACAACATTTTTTTTTATGGTCGGCTTGAAATATAAAACAGCCATCATCTGTTCCTAAATGCAAACTTGTCACAATAGGGATCAACGTAGCTACCTACTTCTCAGCTTACCGTTGCAATGAAGCAGGAGACCTGACCACTCCAGAGAAACTACTTAGAGGAGTAATTCCCACTAACTGTTTTGTTATTATTTTGGAGGCAGACAGCGACCTCTCTCTGCGTTCACGCGACTAAAAGCAACTTCCTGGATGGTTGTCAGCGGGGAAATTTCCTGCAAGGTTGCTATTTAAACGAATCAGCTGTTTCCGCCTCAGCGGTGTCATTGTCGAATCACGTTCCCGAGCTCAACAGCTGACAATGAACGGCATGACGTCAGAGGTCGTCTTCTTCTCTTTTTCCTTCTTCTTCTTCTTCTTCTGCTGTTGCTTATGGAGGTTGGCAACTAGCTTTAGGTGCATTACCGCCACCTTCTAGACTGGAGTGTGGATCAGAACGGCCCCTACCTACTACTATAACAAAATAACTCCACTCAGTTCACGTTATATTATCTTGTGTATTATCCTGTGCTCTCTAAAAACCTAAGAAGTGCTCTGTATCCTATATCCCCTGATCCTTGCTCCAACACCTCAGGTAAACTAAAGTTCATTCCACCTCTTAAAACTGCATCTTTGACTAATTCCCTCTCCTGTCTGAATCTGGGACAACTCATTAAAACATGTTCCACAGTTTCTTGTACCATACACATCTCACATTCCCCTGTAGTATGTTTCTTAATTATCTTCAATGTACAGTACTTTTTAAACCAATGTGCCCAAATCTCTCTTGATAACATATCTCCTTCCTTCCTATTTCCAGTACTTCCTCTCATTTCTCCTACTTTCCTTTGAATATTGTAATAGAATCGACTCTTGTCATCTTTACCCCACAGTTCTTGCCTGCATCAGGAGTCCCTCATTGAACTGTTATTTCAAGGGTCAGACCTTATATTCCTCACTATATCTTATCAACTGTACTATTGCTGGTCTTAGATTTGTGTTTTTATGCAATTATAATGTTGACAAAATTTCCTTCACATTTTCTCATATGATAAAAAATGCTTTGAACTTTAATGTACATCATATAAGTCCTATGGAACAAACACGTTTTGTTGTTAAATGCAACGAACAAAAATAAGGCTTCAATCTGTCAATTTCTCGGTCTGTTTGTTCCATCTGCTAATTAAAGTGTGTCTAGATGAATGATGTGTTTGTAATTGCATGTGATTTTTACTTTGTCAGTGTGTGCAGGGCAGATAACGCTGGAGCCTGAGAAAGTTGGGCCGCTCTGTCCCCAACAATGAAATGAACATTTATGTGATTCCTATCGGACCATCTGCTCTATAAGTGTAGAGCAGATGGCTTTTCAAAATTAGCACTTTGAAATAATAATGTCCATAATCACAATAAAAATAACCCCTAAAAAATCTTAAGAATGATGAAATACCATTTCAAAATAATGACTTAAGTTTTAATATTTCTTGAATCATTTCAAAAATTGTCTAAGTATATATTTTACACAATTTATTCATATGGTCAATGTTAAATCCGCATCCACACAATAACAAGCAGGAAGTCGGTATGTTTTGTCTGACATCCTGCGAGTTCTCCATTGTCCATCAGATGGCAGCCTTTCTCTTCACCAATAACATCCTGATGGATTTTGTCTGCAGTCAATTCAAGAAGACTTTTGACATGTTATGTCAAACATTTTAGAACTTGTCAAAATATATAGCCAGATGCAGAGCATAATCATGAGGCTACAGCTCTAAGAATAGCAGGAATATGTTTGAAAACATGTAGAACTGACTGCATTATATTGTGACCCTGTAATATCTAATTTCACAAAATTACACACTTTAAACAAATTACCTTTGCGTGCTCAAACTCTTATTATTATCATCATCATCATTATTTCTAGTCACAGCAAGAGCTACAGTAGGTGTAAGAAATAGGCAGGTGAAAGAGATTTCCGGGAGACCCTGTCTTAACTGTAGCTTAGTCATGCTGCTGCTGCTGCTGATGAGCAACTTCACTAGAGCAACTAGTGATTAAGGATTCCAATTTGCAAGTTTTGGTCACAAGGCTGCTTCTTAAACCCTCTGCCAAACATCACTTCTAATAGTTTCCTGACAGCTGCAACTGATGGAAGACTCCTTTACTTTTTGTACACTGAAATTTACTGGTGTACTTAACCTCACCCTTTAATTAATAGTATTCTGGTTGGAATTTAAGCTTCAAGCAGATATGCTGACAGAGTGTTTCATTTCAAAGAACATACAAATATTTCTACACTTTCCCTCCGGAGTCCATAAATTACCTCCAGAAGAGTGTCCCCTGAAAGGAATAAAAATTTGTTTATTAATTTTTTTCCAGAGTAAGATGTAATATGCATATTTATGTTGACTATATTGCTAATGAATTTCATGTGAATTTCCACATCACAAGGGGGAATAGCATTACTTTACCATTACCATTCCAACACAGTAACAATTATGACAACAGTACCATTCTATTTTCATATGGTGCAATTGTGGGAGTATAATTCTAAAGTAAAACTAAAGGATGATAAGGTAATGCCTAGGTCAAATAGCAATAACAGCTAATATGGGTGAAAATACTTGATGTGAAATCAAAATGAACTACAACCTAATACACTGCTTAAAACAAAAAATCCTGTAGAGTACAAAAGACTGCTTAAAAAATACAAAATACAAACAATGTATTTCTAATAATATGCAAGTCACTATTGTCTGGAATCATCATGACCCATTGAGTTTTCATTTTATCCGCAAAGTGTGAATGTGGCCAAGAGGGACAGACTTTTACTGAACCGGGAGAGGAATCATGACAGTTCTCTGCCAAAGACAGAATAAAGCCCATAATGATGTCATTTTCTTTCAGTCTTACTGAATCTTTTTCTTATGCAGCTGCTGTTCTTCGGGTGTGCAGAGCATATTTTCACAGCCATGTTACCATGTTATCGTTCGTGTGAAATTTTAGTTGGTGGAGCTGAATTAGATATCAGTACCAGTTTCCCCAAGCGCCAAGGCTGAGAGAAACAAATACGGAAAAGAAGGATGAATAAAAGAGAAGGTTCAGTGAGTAATTGTGTCTCTGACAGATAAGATGCATTGCAACTGTGCTCTCCTGCAGAACTGATGAAATATCCTGGTCCAGTTCAGATGGGGGATTAGTTGGCCTGCAGTGGCTATTTTCTCCTCTGAAAATCAATATCTGCTCACATTGTGCTGAGAGGAGGGACTGAGTCATGGACACACAAATCCATAGTTTCACACACAAACACAAACATTACACCAGCTCAGACACAAAGTCTCTGTCTTCCTTTGTCATTTTATCCTGCTCCCTCATTTCCATTTAGTCCCTAAGCAGACAAAGATTGTTTATGACAGTTAGCACTGGGCTGGTGCCATTTCATTAGCGTGATGTATTGCTGGTGACAGGCGTGGGCTAGACGGGCTGCTGGTTAAAGTGTCACCTCTAAAATACTGTGCCATCCAGGAGAATCCTCCCAGCTTAGGGGGACTCAGCAGCACCCTTATCAAGTGGGGTTAACCCTGTTGGGAGGAATCACAGCTCAGATTGTCTCACACCCCGAACACAGAAAATGTTCAGCCAGAGTTAACTCACAAGAGCAGAATAGGTGAAACTGGCTAATAACATGAAGAAGACAGAGATTAAAAGGCAACCTAATCCACTGAGGGCATTTCCCTTCACTTTTTTGCAGGAGGATAAGCAGATAAGCTGATCATGATTGGATCCAAATTTAAGAATTATAGTCAAGCCAGTTTTTAAGTGGTGTTATTTTGTGAAGAAACATTTGACAACTAACAGAACTCCATAGTCAAAATCATCTGTGACAAAAACTGCAGAGGTATCAGTGAAGAAAAATGTAAAATTATGTGATAAATGGAGTGAAGGCATCTGAAAAACCTGTGACAAAGACAAACTGTAGGCTAAAAGAATAATAGGCCTTTTGTCTATCAGTAAATCTGTCCATACTTCTCTTTTTCTACTGTCTGAAGGTCAAATGCTTCACATAGTCTTTGAACTAGGATAGTGCTTTATTTATTGATCATGTGGATCACAAGACTTCTTGTTGAGGAATATGATGCAGCCATTTGGTGCCAATCTTGGCCTTTAAAAGGACCGTCACTGTACTGAGCAAATGTTATAGAAAGAAAATTAGCCCTGAAAGAAGAGGGTGCTATGTCAAGACTGAGAGGTTGAATTGTCTGGTTCTTATGATGGCAGAGCAACCCAGGAAGTGACAACCCACACCCACACAAACTGTAACATTCTATCAAATATCACACAGTTGCAGTAACTAATTTTTATTCCATTTTATCTCAGTTCCTAATGAACATTCCTTTGTCTGTTTGCATTGTGTATTGCCTGATTATACTGTTTATTTTGTTATACTACACAGCCTTATGTTGGTATATTGTTTACTTGCCCCTTACATGGGTATATGTACATGCACATTGAGAGCCGCTGTACCAGAGTCAAATTCCTCATGTCCAACACACCTGGCCAATAAAGCTAATTCTGATTCTGAGCTCCACAAACCTTTGATGAACGTTTGTGTACTTTTTGGGATTTGCTACCATTTTGTTTCCTACTAATAAACAATTGTAGTGATTTGGTGTGAACGACAGTAAGAGTGGGTCGGAAAGTAAAGTCAACCATTTGATATTCACTGACTGAAATGTAGAAAGACACCAACTAACCAGGGGCAAATCTTTTAGAATATTAGAGAGGGTGGCAAGGCTCATGCACAGAGAGAGGTGGCACATTAGAAATACATGTAAAAAGTAAATTAAGCCCCTAGTTTTATGAAACAATAAACAATGCATTATTAAGAATCAAGTTGTTTATTCTGTATAAAAATGAGACACATACCATACCAACTTTATTTATAAAGCACTAAAAACAACCAGAGTGGACCAAAGTGCTGTACATTGCAATAAAACAGTATAAATTATAAACCACAAACAACAATATAAAATATAATCAATATTAAAAAAATGACTAAAATCAACACAAAAATATCAAAATGCCAGGGAAAATAAATGAGTTTTTAAAAGAGACTTAAAAACAGACAGGGGAGAGGCTTGTCTAATGGACAGCGGTAAATCATTCCAGAGTTTAGGACCAGCAACTGCGAAGGCTCGATCGCCTCTAAGCTTACGCTTCGTT